GAACGGGTCTCGAAGAATTCGGAGATATTTTGCACATGTCAAGCAAAATAAAGCGTCAAAGGGGCCGCGATCTTGAGTGATGAATGTATGTGCGTATGCGAAAAGGGAAATGCGTACACTCATGATGAACACGTGGCTTTTAGTCGTAGTTCGCATGCGCTGATCCCAAACCGCGGGAATCTCCAAGTTTCAACCACCTCTGAAGCTTGGAGAGCTCGGAGAGCTTTGGAGAGCCTCCTAAAAGTCGGAGAGGATATACCGTATATTCTCTATTATAAGCGCCGTGCTTATATTTTTTCAACACCCCTCTACCCCGTGCTTGTATTGGAGACCGCGCTTATATTGGAGACCGTGCTTATATTTTTTCAACCAATACATCCATACAGAGCAAGAAGAAATGCATGCTAGATATCATGCATGCCGCATTGATTTCCAACAGGACCGTGCTAATAATAGAGACCGTGCTTATAATGTTTCGAAAGGTGCTCACAGTGTGCTAGTATTAGAGACCGTGGTAGTAATGGAGACCTGTGCTTATAATAGAGAATATACGGTAAGAACAGCTCTCGAACTTTTCGGAGAGTCTCCAACTTTTCCGAGAGGATTTAAGAACGCACCCTAAGTAAGTGTCTGCAGGTGTATGATGATTTTAGTTTTTCTGTTCTTTGTCGTGCACGGTATGCTAGTCAGTTGAAAGTACTTGAGGCTGTTTGTATTCGTTTGCATAAGCCTGATCTTTTGAAGAAACATGTAGTTGCGTTAAAATTGTTTTCGTAGGTGCACAGCATGATTGTTTGTCTCACTACACAGTTTTAGCGTTATAATTAGTTTCTCACCCGCCGTTGCACTTAGCTCTCACTTCACTTCTATTGTCTCACCTTCCCTCATTCTATTTTGGCTCAGGCTGTATTTTGTTCTCGCAACACATCATTGAATGTATTTAACTAAAATGATCATTGTTCAGCATGGTTACCGTCTTCAGTCACGACTTTCCACTGATGAATGTGACAAGAAAGTAGTCTGGTAAACTTTCATGACTTCGTTGTAGTGTGGCGATGACTGCAGAATTTGTTCTCTTTATTGCTATTAAAAAATAACTAATTAAAATAATAACTAATTATTAGTATTAGTGTATTCTTTTTTCTTTTCTTTTTTGCACCTCATCAACCAACTCACGCAATCATCTTCATAATAGAGAGGTTCGGCTACACGTTTTTGGGCCAAACTCGACGTGTAGACCTATCAACTGGGTTCGAGGATGAAAAGTACGCAGTCTGGAGCTCATGACTTGACGTGAATCTGGTGATCTACACGGATCGCGCTCCGCGAAGAATTTTTCAAGAACCTTCGATGTCGCCATTTTGGTTGTCCCGGAGATGCGGCTTGGCTTCCCACAACGCGAAGCCGAATCAAACTCTGCGCCAGGGAGTCGTCAAATACCGGTATTTGACGACTCCCTGCTCTGCGCCCGGCCCGCGCGTACGCGTAGCTTTGCAACATGTGGCCAACACTTTCGTCACGTACGCGTACGCGTTACTTGTAGCCGATCCTCTCTAATTACACTATCAGCCCGGATCATCCATTCGCGCTATGATCCAAGCTTGCAGCCTATAATGCCCTATATCAATCATAATTATCTTCTGAAAATTGTGAAGTTGCTGTCAGATGATCGGTTAAAACCGTGAAACTCAGAGTTACAGCAGAAACGCTTTCGATCCTCTCAAGTGTGTGAAAATAAAATTATGTATGGAGTGCAAAAAACTCAAAATCTGAGATTTTGTAAGTCAAAGGAGAGGAAGAACATCAATAGATTGAGAACCAGGGGTGCTAATAGAACACTGGAAAGGCACTAAAACAAAAATAACTGCAGTAGCGGGTTAAGACTATAATATTGTTCAACACGTGAAACTAGGTACGCCGAAAACTGAGAAGCGGTAAACTTCAAAAAGCTTCCTTACCTGGCGATTAAATAACGTGGGACTATCGAGTGAACGTATATCAGCAGGAAGCTTATTCAAAGCAACAGCGATAAGGAAAAGGGATTTAGCGAAGTAACTGTTCAATAAACCTGGCCGGATGTATGAGCTCGTACAGCATTTCGTCCACTCATTGCGCGATATTGCTGCATTTTTTGGTCTATTTATGTACATGTACATGATCGCAGTGAAATCCAACAAAATAACAATCTGTAGCGCGAAATAAAAAAGGAAAATAATAACCAGTCCAGCGCTAAAGAACGAACATAAGAAAATGAAATCATAAGCCTCAAGGCGCTTAATTATATGGAGGGGTAAACCGGAATCCGAGAAAATACACGCATACCTCGGTTATCCGGACCCCGAAGTTACGGGCACTTCGGTCTACCGGGCACTATTTGGGCGAGTTTCAGGGGAAATATTACTACTCTTTTGTCACTTTTCGTAGAAATATTGACGTCATATGCCATATCGATGGCCTTTTCCCCATCAACATGTATATGATTCGGAGTTACGGGCACCCTCGAAGTTACGGGCAGTGTCCGGTCCCGAAGCGCCCGGATAAGAGAGGTATGAGTGTAATAACATACAAAATCATAGAAAAGGGGGGGGGGGAGGGGAATGAAACAGAACAGTAGCCAAACACGCCACGGATAGTTACCGAAAGCACTCTGCAGCAGCAAGGACCACAGGAGCATCAGAATCAATTACTCTCTGGCGCCTGGCGGGCACCTTGAGACCGTGGCCTGCGGTGACCTCGGAGGCTGGCGTGGGAGGTACGAACAAGAGAAAAGGAAACCCTTGACCTTATAAAGGCAAGAAGTGAGGAGAAGGGCTCCTTTCTCTTGTCGGCGAGCATAGAGGCGACACGCTTGAAGAAAGCGGAGGCGGACTTACCGTAACCGCCGGAAGCGTTGAACACAATGGGAGAGAATGAAGCGTGTTCAACTTCGCAAACGCTTTCTTCGTATGCACGCCTTTTCTTGGCCTCATGCTTCCGGCAGGTAGCCGTCATGGACTGCTGGCGGTTGGAGCGGGCGTGCGGGTTGAACACCCGGATGTCCAGTAGTGCCCATTCGAAACGTGAACCCCAGACACCCGAAGCAGCCACATCCAGGCGGGCACCATCCTCGGAGATGGCGGAGCGGTGACGGAAGGTCTCACCGGTTAGTGGCTGGAGATGCGGCTCGACCTGGACATCATGGGCCACTTCACGCGGGAGAGATGCGGTGAGATCCCGTAGGTCATTATGCTGCATGGCGGGGTAGCCACCAGTTGGGCAAGACAGCGCGTGTTCCGGTGAAAACGCTTTGCTGCACACACATTCCGTTGGCATGCCTGGAAGGGTCCAACCATGCCGTAGGCAGAGAGCATCCCAGAACGCCTGCTTGTGCAGGTTGAAACCATACTGACGAAGGGGCCGACAGGTCAACCAGCTGGAGGCGCCCTTTTCGGCAGCAAGGTTCAGGGTGTGCTCTGCGGTGCTGGTGGAGGTGGCAATGACCGAGGCAACAGCTTCCTTCGCCAGGTGCCAGGACTGGGAAACAATCTCTGCCTTGGCTGTGATGGTGGTAGCCGGGACGCCTTCTGTGGACTCATCTTGTTGGAGGATCTTCTGCACCATATACTTGGTGATATACATGGAGTCCTGGAACTGGGAGGCAAGGGAGGATGGGTTGACGATCCCCAGCCTTCCATCCCTGCACGGTAGGACCAGCATGGCACGCTCGACGTCTCCTGGCGGGACGTGGTTGATGATAGCAGGGATGAATTTGCTGCGGATTGTTTCCTCCAAGGGTGCAAGCAGGTCGGCCGTATTTGGCACTGTCCGGGCGACAAAGGACCACTTGTGGCGAACTCCCTGGCCGAAAGCAGCAAATGCCGCTTGTGGTTGGGTGCGAGCGAACTCAGCCAGAACATCCACTTCGCGACACCACTCATCCACCTTGCTCGACACATATGCCGAGCAGAATGTTGGTGTTCCGAGGACGGCACCTAGGTGGCGACACCCATCCGACCAGATGTCTATGCTGGAGTCCTGGAAGATTTCCCTGGCCCGGTCTAAGCACTCACTGGCTTCACCAAGAGTATCGACTTTTTGGCGTTGATGTAGTAGCCATAGGATGGACCTTTTTCCTCCAGGATTGACCACCAATTATGAAGCTTGGTGAGGGTGCTTGTTGCTGTGAAGTCATCCGCGAACCACGCTTGTACAGCCTGGCTAGAGGCTGCACGACGGATGAGAGGCACGGTGCCCAACGCATACATCGCCATTGCGAGCGGATCGCCTTACGTAGTTCCTTCGCAGGAGAGAATGGTCTCGCCACCGACGAACAGCCGAGATGGGGACCGGTACGTACGTGTTGACGATGGTGGTGGAGAATTCTGGGCACAGATGCTGGATGTTGCGAATGCATACGTTGCGGTTGATACGATTGAACGCATTTGATGCATCGGCTAGAAGCACAGCCTCAGTGTCTTCTTGCGCGAACGCGGACCGCATAGCTTTGATGCCGCTCTGTTGGCCTGCACAAAGTTGAAGGCACCCTGTGGCTTGCTGAATTTAACAACACTACTACGACACCATTTTTTTACGGGTTGATGAACAACCTCTTTTACGGGCAAAAGCAACACAATGGTGAGAAACCAGGGTATGATAGGAATAATAGTACACAGGTGTGGAAAATATGTCTCCGGAGTGGCGAGAGTTTTACACTATTAAAAACACAACTTACTGGTTTTTACATATCCGGCTTTCAACCACCGCCGGCCCTGAGCTCGTTAGGTACTACTACTACTAGGTGGACGATACAAGTACCGTAAAATTAATAATAGTTACAACGACACCATGGTTACGAAGTCCTGCACCCGGCCGGGGTGTAGATCTACGATCGGTACGAGTCGTACCTGTTCTGTACGGACAAGCACTGCAGCTGCGTACATGCGTGTACGCTCCTGCACTGCCAGCATTGCAGCCTGGGTTGAGTGTTGAGTCTGTTGACCCCCGGTTTCGTCAAATGCTGGTCATTTCAGGAAACGGCTACAGAGAGAACACTTTTTCTTTCTTCAATCCTAAAAATTAGCTCCCGTGGCCCAAGTCGAGGGAACATCTTATAATATGATTGACGACGACATTAGACAGCCGTTGCCCAGTGGGAAGGTGCAATGAACGTCTCTCCGGAGCAGCTAGGCTTTCGACTCCTTTCGAAGGTAAGACATAGGTTATCGAATATCAATTACATATTGGGCAATTTCTGCTGTATTTGTCGTCGATGAGTGTTTGCCTAGACCCGACGACCCCTGATCAACAGGTATGCCCATTTCCCTACAAATTATTTATTTTAGTTGGGGAGGATGATTATAACATAGCTGCATGCAGCTGTGCCGCCTCATATGCAATGTTGCTTTTGCTTGTTTGCGCTGAACTTGACGGAGCTAGCTGGGTAAATCATCGATTGTGCAATTTATTTCGCTGATCCGGCTACATAGTTGTAAAACATGTTTCCAAAAATGGTCAGTAGCTTGATGGCAGCTAGTTGCAGGCCTGATTTTACATCACTGACACTGTCTCGGCTTACAGCTCTGGGCAACACTGGATCGAAAGGGCCGCGTGGGGGTGAAACTAACCTGGAAATCTTGCTTTCCTGGTACATGTAGGTCACATCCAAGTCACCAGACAGAGATTGGAGAGATGTTTACAAAGTTCTGTGTGCTTGACGATCGCTGGTCTCTGAAATAGGAGTCGAGGCAGCAGTAGCATCTTGTAGCTGGATGTGATGTCAGGGCAGGAAAGTAGCTCTGACTCCGTCTCAGTCGCCAGACGTACAGTAAAAGCACGTCAGCAGGTGTCTCCTGCAGTGTCTTCAAGTCCCAGGCCGATGCCTAGCTAGTTCGTTGGCTGTAGCTCAGTGGCTGTAGCTCAGTGGCTGTAGCTCAGTGTTTCCTAGGAGAGTGATTGGGAGGCTCAACACCAGCACAGCGTAAGTGAGCATTGGACGGGGTTGGGCTGACTGAATGTGAACTGGTGAAATTTCAAATCCACGCCTTCCCTGATCATTTGCGACTGAGTGGGGATGCGGGAGAGAGTTAGCAACTTGTGGTGCACTCTATCCGCAGCTCGATAAATCTCTCGATGCATGATCGAGTCAGTACCCAATGGCACATACAGGCAAGCAGGCATCAAGAAGTCGCAGTACGCAAAACAAACCCAGTAGGTTGGCAGCTCTGTAGTCACGCCTGCAGTCCGGTGAAATGAGAAAGTCAACGACCGGGTGGCAATGCCCAATACAGCGTTCATGTTGCTGGGCTGAGGGTGGGCTGCAATGCACCTGGTACTGGCCTGGAGCGGAGTCGAGCGCCCAAGAACGGTGTTTTCAGGGGGTCAGGTTAGGATATTCTTGGTTGTTCATCCCTCTGCTGACGACCCTATAGCACGTGCACGTGTATAACAAAAGCTGTGTTCCAGAACAGCAGCAAACCGACACGGCCGTTAATAACTTACTGTAGCGTTCTTAGCAACCCTGGGTGGATGTTCTTGGGCTCCACATTCTTCAGCAAACGACCACTGTAATGCCACCCAAAACAAACAAGCATTGGTTTTCCATTCCATACAAGCTAGCACTGGTTTTCTACTCCATACAAGCTAGCACTGGTTTTCCACTCCATACAAGCTAGCACTGGTTTTCCAGTCCGTACAAGCTAACACTGGTTTTCCACTCCATACAAGCTAGCACTGGTTTTCCACTCCATACAAGCTAGCACTGGTTTTCCACTCCATACAAGCTAGCACTGTTTGCCACTCCATACAAACAAGCATTGATTTGCCCCTCCATACAAACAACCATTGGTTTTCCACTCCATACAAGCTAGCACTGTTTGCCACTCCATACAAACAACCATTGATTTGCCCCTCCATACAAACAAGCATTGGTTTTCCACTCCATACAAGCTAGCACTGCTTGCCACTCCATACAAACAAGCATTGATTTGCCCCTCCATACAAACAAGCATTGGTTTTCCACTCCATACAAACAAGCACTGATTTCCCCTCCATACAAACAAGCACTGATTTTCTCCTCCATACAACACGCACTGATTTGCCACTCCATACAAACAAGCATTGATTTGCCACTCCATACAAACAAGCACTGATTTGCCCCTCCACACAAACAAGCACTGATTTGCCACTCCATACAAACAAGCATTGATTTGCCACTCCATACAAACAAGCACTGATTTGCCACTCCATACAAACAAGCACTGATTTGCCCCTCCATACAAACAAGCACTGATTTGCCACTCCATACAAACAAGCATGGATTTGCCACTCCATACAAACAAGCACTGATTTGCCCCTCCATACAAACAAGCACTGATTTGCCCCTCCATACAAACAAGCACTGATTTGCCACTCCATACAAACAAGCATTGATTTGCCACTCCATACAAACAAGCATTGATTTGCCCCTCCATACAAACAAGCACTGATTTGCCACTCCATACAAACAAGCATTGATTTGCCACTCCATACAAACAAGCACTGATTTGCCCCTCCATACGAACAAGCACTGATTTGCCCCTCCATACAAACAAGCACTGATTTGCCACTCCATACAAACAAGCATTGATTTGCCCCTCCATACAAACAAGCACTGATTTGCCCCTCCATGCAAACAAGCATTGATTTGCCACTCCATACAAACAAGCACTGATTTGCCACTCCATACAAACAAGCATTGATTTGCCACTCCATACAAACAAGCACTGATTTGCCCCTCCATACAAACAAGCACTGATTTGCCCCTCCATACAAACAAGCATTGGTTTGCCACTCCGTACAAACAAGCATTGATTTGCCACTCCTTACAAACAAGCATTGGTTTGCCACTCCATACAAACACGCATTGAGTTGCCACTCCATACAAACAAGCATTGATTTGCCACTCCATACAAGCTAACACTCGTTGCCGTTGGAAGCTTTTTTCCTTCTTTTTTTTTTACGAGAAACCACGAACCTCGAGAACAGAATACTGCATGATGGAGGTGGCTGCAGTCGCAGCTGTGCCATGGTGCTGGTGAAACTGGAGTATCTCCGGCAACCGGAGGTCTCGGCTTCAGCGACAAGTGTGTTACTCTGCAGTTTCGCTGTCTTCTGAGAATTCATTCAGAAATAGAAGAACGTATAGCGACTTTGGCAGTAACAATCAAGGATGAATTTACTGTCATATTTTTTGCATAGCAGTTTCTGCTATACAAAATCACAATTGTGTAGCAGTCTTTGATGAGCATTTTATTTGAAGGTTGGGTGTTTACCAGATTGTCCTTCTCGAGAGTGATGCCTGAAAACCCATTTGCATTAAAAAAAACCCGACTGAAGCATACATGTGCACGCAGATTGAGAGTACCTGCACCACATGCATTGCACTATACGGTATGGATGTTACTTCATAGCGGAGGCTAAGCATGGATAGTCTGTAAGCATCGCAGTTTTCTGCGAGTCACGGTGACTTGTGAGTAGCAGTAGATCGATTTTGCATCGCAAACTGCGATGCGATACAGGATAGATGCGAAGCTTTAGTTCGTGAACAAAACAGTGCCCCTGAAGTACAGACTATCAATATTCTCTCAGACTCGGCGGGTGAGGGCTGAACTCTTCCAATCACTGTGTTAGAGCAGGGAGCGGTACTCTCTTGCTGGTTGCAGAGTGGAAAGTGTACCAGAGCTCCTTACGTGCTCCGGACGACAGTCGCGAGTCAGTTAACTGTACTCTAATTTCAGAAATTTTCGGTGCTCAATTTTTTCGGTATGAGGGCAAAAGGCCAGGTTAGGTGAACAGAAATTTTCGGTACAGAGAAGTTGTTCTCTATGGGATTATGCGTGTTAGTGTTTGTTCGGTGTATTGAAATTTTGGGTATGAAATAGCTGCACCGAAAGTACCGAAAATAGAAGTACACCGAAAATTTGTGAAATTACAGTAATTGCCTGTGCCAATTTGGCAGAAAGTGCGAACGTCAAGATGGGAGCGCCCAGCTTCTTCAATTATCAGGGATATGGCGTTCGCACTTTCTGCCAAATTGGCACAGGCAGTTAACTGACTCCCGACTGTCGTCCGGTGCGCGCGAGAAACTCCGGTGAACTTTCCACTCTGCAACCAGCAAGAGAGTACCGCTCCCTGCTCTAACACAGTGATTGGAAGAGTTCAGCCCTCACCCGCTGAGTCTGAGAGAATACTGATTGTCTGTACTTCAGGAGCACTGTTTTGTTCACGAACTAAATTTTGGCACATTTCTGTATGATTATTGTACACAAAAAGATGTTTTTCTTCACAGGGGAATACATTTTATTGTGGACCGAACGGAAGCGAAAAGGCGGTTCTTGACCAGGGAGTTGTACGACTCCTTGTTCTTGACATGCCCGGTACGCGAACCCGTCGAGTTTATTATTTTTTTAGGACCGAAACCAAAGCCAGGAGTGCAAGCTTCCACCTACCTACCTACCATATCCATGTGACCGCAGGAAAAAAAAACGACTACAGGTCGTCCCTCGTTAATACATAATCTCTGGGACTTGACAAATGTTATGTATTAACGGGGTTTTTGTACTAAACGAAAGTGTACATAACTTGCTTGTGTACCAGAATTTTTCACTTTTCTGAGTGTTTCTTGCTACCATGACTAGGCAGCGAGATATTCTTGATTCCCTCGATATAACATAAAAGTTATGTTATACCGGTCACAGTAACGTTAGCGAAGATTCTACAGTTTGCATGATACATGCCCAGCCGCGCCTGTAGTCACTCCAAAAAAAGACAGAGCTTTGTCGGTTTGTGATGTGCGCTCTGATTTCTGAGCTAATTGCGTCCACAAGTAGAAACTAGAACACGATGTGCCTCCACTGTAAGGCCAAAAGACCAACAAATTATGTACTATTGAGGTAGGTGGCATGCGGGTACGGAGGAATGTTATGTACTAACGGGGTTTATGTACTAACGAATTTTGTACTAACCGACAAAATTTGTATAGAAGTGACCACGTTTCGTCCGGGACTTGAGATTTCTTATGTACTAACGGGGTTTATGTACTAACCGGACTCGTATTAACGGGGGACGACCTGTACTGTGCTGCTCGATGAAGTCTGATCGTGTCAGTCAAGTTTGCTTCCTGCATCGGTTCACATCCGGGTGTTCGCAAGGCTAGGGCTGCACAGCGTCCGGTGTGGGATCACTCGCTTGACAGGATTGCGCATGTGTGTGCTTGTGTGTGCATATGTTTGTGTGTGTGTGCGTGTGTGTGCACATCCACTATGTGCGTCTGAATATAGCTCGTTGGTGCCAGGATCTTGGCGTCAACATTGCTGCTCGCAGTATGTCTGTTGCTAGCAAGGCCCACGTGTGCCAACCCCACCCCGAATGCCAACAACCAATGTAAGTACATGTGTGGTGGTGGTGTGCTCCGCTAGGTGCCAGCAAGAGTATACCCCCCCCCCCCCCCCCCAAGAGTGTGCAACTCCTGATACCCTTTCTATGGGGTACGCCGGCGGCGAAAACTCACATCACGTGGTGCAGTGTCGCAGTTGTACGCTCCCAGCCCGTTTTTAGCGAGCAGCGGAGTAATAAAAAGGCCCTCTCTGACAGAAACTCACTGCGCGTATGCCAATCCCCAGCATGCATCATGGCAGATATTCGGATTGCGCGCACGCTATCCTTCGTTTGTACGTAGTTACGTCCAAACGTATCTGAGACACGTGATGTGAGTTTTCGCCGTCGGAGACCCCATATGCAGAGTTGCACACTCTTGGGGGGGTTATATACTCTTGGTGCTAGTGATACCTAATACAAGGGTCGCTGCTACACTTGCAGCCCACATTTCGTGGCAAAGAAGTCATCGGGCCTGGTTTGATCTGCACGAATACTGTAATATAGTGCTGTTACCCCCCCCCCCCCCCCTCCCCTCCCTCCCCTCCCCCACCATCACACGCTCGTTTTTTCCCCTGTGAATCAGTTTCTATCAACATACGGTGTGCAGACACTGGGTGTGCTGCTGTGCATAGTACCTTCCAGCCCGGCTATTCCCCCGGCATGGAGGTGTGCAGACACTGGGTGTGCTGCTGTGCATAGTACCTTCCAGCTCTCCGGCTATTCCCCGGCATGGAGGTGTGCAGACACTGGGTGTGCTGCTGTGCATAGTACCTTCCAGCTCTCCAGCTATTCCCCGGCATGGAGGTGTGCAGACACTGGGTGTGCTGCTGTGCGTAGTACCTTCCAGCTCTCCAGCTATTCCCCGGCATGGAGGTGTGCAGACACTGGGTGTGCTGCTGTGCATAGTACCTTCCAGCTCTCCGGCTATTCCCCGACAGGGAACTGTGCACAGTTCAGTACGGCAACTTCGATGGCTCGTGCTTGATAGCGCTGTTCTAGTTGCTGTCAGTATTGTTTTCGTTGTTGGTGGCGGTGGTGGCGGTGGCGGTGGCGGTGGTGGTGGTGGTGGCGGTGGCGGTGGTGGTGGTGGTGGTGTTTGAAATCTTTATTCTCACGATGGTCAGTGGCCAATAAGAGTGTGGTTGTTTCAAATTTTTATTCTTGTTGCTGCTGCTGTTGTCGTCGTCGTCGTCATCATCGTCGTCGTCGTTGTATTTCAAACTGCACCGGGCAAGTCCCCCACCCTGCTATAGAAGTTGTGCAAATGGCATCTCCGCAGTATTGGGTGGCAAGCGCCGCGTGCTTATGATGTCACGGTTTTGATAAGCCTGCGGGCAGATGTAGCCGAAATCCGCCCCGAAATAACTAAGCACTTTAATAAGTTAGCTCTACCGAACCTGATGAAAGACCAGATTTGACCCAAGGCTCAGTTCAGTCACTGCGGAAAGTGGCTGTGTGGTATTTTGCGGGTTTTCATCTCACCTTCGGTGTCGCAGATCGCGATGCATTGCAACAAAATGCTTCCGTGAATCCCGCTTTTGTTATCAGAAATTCGAACACAAACTTCTTCCATGTCTGAGACGCGACAGTTAAAGCCAGCACGCACCACCACCGTACAGCCACATTCCGCCATGAGAGAATTGGGCCTCGAGTCGAATCTGGTCTTTCATCAGGTTGGAAAAAAAAGCGCAGTGCTTAGTTATTTCGGTGCAGTCTTCGGCTACATCTGCCCGTAGTCTTATGGCCCTGGCTAATCACCCTGGCTTAATACAGTAGATGATATGCCACATACCGTGCAACTAGACTTGAGAGGGCATCGCACACAAGTTGCATACAAATTATACTACAATGTGTACATGGTAGTCTCTGAGCTCTGCAGGAATACAAGTCGCAGGTACCCGTACAACTTTGAACTTTGTATGCAACTACTCTGCAATGCCCTCTCAAGTCTAGTTGCACGCTATTTGGCATATCATCTATTATATCCCTGGCTTATAGCCGTGGCTAATCACCCTAGCTTATAGCCCTGGCTAATCACCCTGGCTTTAATACTGGTTGTATGTGGGTTTTTTTGTCATTTCTTTTGCCAGCCACTAGCACCCCAGCGGCGAAGTTCTGTCCCGAACTGCATATCCCCAATGGTGTCATAACGTACACTAGACCTGAACCCCCGTCACCACCGTCTCCGTCGCCATGGCCAGAGCGGCATGCCGACAACAACAGCAGCAGCAGCAACACCACCAGCGTTAGACTATGGTCGCGCGGAACAATGGCCGCGGTCATCTGTGCTGCAGATCACGTCGTCACCAGCGGCACCACGGTGGCTACTTGCACCGAGCACAACAAGACTGCTGGCGTGTGGAACACTACACTAGGTTGCCAGTGTAAGTTAGTAGTTGTGCGTAGTCCATACATACATACATACATACGTGCAGATGCGCGTGGTTAAATCTGACCCGAAGTGCAACACTGACGCCCTGTACCAGTTCCCAATACATCATTGTATGTGTGCATGTGTACGTCCTCCAGTCCCATTCATTCCACTTCCAGGGCGTCACGGGCCGTACAAAATGAGGGCGCCAAATGTGTACTCGCGGACTTCACCGTACGCAACTGTACATATCGTGAGATGTCTGTCACTGCATCTACCTCAAACCTTCGGTATCACCCTGTGAGGTTTAGGATCACCTGGTCTGATCGACTCTGCACGGCTGTTATGCATGCATAATCCAGCGACATTATGTACGGTACGACATTTTCCCGTCGCCCCAGTGATCCATGATGCTGCCGTACGCGACCTTGCTGCCTTTTTCAAATCTCTGGAAATATTCGGCAAGGTTTCGCCTATGTTTCTGTCGATTCCAGCCGTTTTCTACGCTGGATTCGCGAAGTCTAAGCGAATTCATCTTCTTGCCTTCAAGCTGCGCATGCAGATATTTTGATCGTCAAAATGCGCAATGGGAAAGTGTAGTTACGATCTTTTTCGTTTCGTTCTTCCTCGTCGTGCCGGCCATTGGCGTTTATCAGAATTGGCTCACATTCGAGGCTTCCTCCTAAGGGGTGCAGAATTTTTGGCAGCCTTCACGCCAATTTTCATTGAAAGGTTTGTCCTTTTTCTACGTCGTAGTTATATTTTCATTGCCGCCCAGATTATCGTTTTCGTGCCCAAGTCGATTTGCGTGGCGTACTTGGACATCAATTGCAAGTGTTTGCTGATATATGCAGGACGAGTGGAGGTGTGTTCTCCTGCCTCAATGTCTAACGAAGACCCCAGTTTCGTCCGCCATAGGAGGGATCCGTGCATGCTTCGTTCTGGATGTTAGCAAGTACAAATCAGACATGCATCCAATGAACATTTTTTGAAATTCATGCTTTCGAAATGTATGTAGAAACAGGACATTGTGTGGAGATTTTAAATGTCAGAGATGCAAGATTCCCCATCTGTCTGAGGCCTTACGTGTAGACACATAGGCATGGGTTTTTTGTATTACTAGTGTTACTGCAGATTTAGGCCACGCACAATGTAGTCTGTCGACGATCCTGCTGAAAAGCACACACTTGCATGCGTCAAGACCATACTGAAATACTTCAAGTAATTGAACAACAACAAACGACAACCATGATGCAGCTTATAATATCTTGCACTACATCAGCACTAAGCACAGCAAGGCACTCAGGACAGGGCCGCAGCCGCTGGTGATGGCCGTACCCGGTTTTACCACTCTCGGCGTTCATGATAATTACATGTAACATGTTCAATATGCAAATGATTCTGTAGAACACTAATAGGCTATCCTCGTACACTCCTCACTAGAGTCCCTCCTAAACTGCTTTCTTCTTTAGTGAGGACTACTGTACAAGCTGCATTATGCAGAGTATCTGTTGCTACCGGAGTGTGTAGCCGAAACAACCAGGTTATTATTCTGATGCGAATAAGATACACAGCATCACGCATCTTCATGACCGTGCCATTCCTATGGAGCTGGCTCAGGGCTTGATGGCAATGCAGTTCACCTGCTGAATTGACAGATGTCCATGAATTCATTTTAAAATAACAAGTCGGTCAAGTGAGAATTCAAGTCGGCAGGAATAGCGCAAGCTCCCACGTAGGGAGCAACACACAATTCCCCAAGTATCGCCGAAGTCGCATCAACCTCTTCTTCACATTAATTACAATACGGCGAATTAAATCAAAGCTGTAAGAAGCTAAATAATTCTGTGACTTGAGAAGAATAACACCTATAGCAGGTCCATGTGCTTTAAAAGTTGGAGACTGGAAGATATCCTCTATTTGTACACTAACAACACCAACATGGAAGCGTTGCGGGCAACCAACTCCGCCATGCTATGACACTTGATGATGTATTGTGGTACTTTGCTTATCACTGCAAGCCCACTGGTTGACTTTATCATCATCCATTGCTTCTTTCATGACGAAGATCAGCAGTGCAACTGTGGCAATAAATATCACCGCCTACAATGCCGCACTTATTGGAGGAGCACATTCTACTGGAAATAAAACACTTCAGTTAGTGCTGATCTGGAATAGTATGGAGAGTAGGGTGGTGAAGGGTTACACGCAAATTCAACATCCTTGCCGATGAGCACTGTGGAGCATGTGCAATGCAGAAACTGCTGTCCAATAGTATACAGAATCTGATTTCCAGCAATCCTAAAATCCTCACATTGATCCCAAGGTGAAGAGCACACGCATGAAGAGACGTACATGTAGCTGCTATGTCATCAACTTTGCGTTGAGAGAGTAGCAGACGATCGAATTCTATCCTTCTCCAAGATGAATTGCAATCAGTCTAACGATTTATTTGTGCTCTTTTCTTATGCACGGAAATCTGGCTGTAAGCTGTCCTCAGGGGAGAACATGTTCTAGAATAAGAGCAGTGGGGTTCCATCTGTTCACGTCATGATGGTAGTGAGTCAAGCAAACGTGCCCCCTTCTTGTTCCGAAGTTTCAAACACAACTAATTCCATGATGCACTACATTACTAGAATTTATTACACTGCATCGTCTTGAAAACAATTCCTGTATTGACTGTATTGACTCCAGGACATACTAACTTCAGTACTTCGCCGAAGGGAGGCTTCCAGGTCTTGGTAGACTTATTCTCCTCCAGCATGGCCTCATACGAGCTCTCCAAAGCACGAATCCATCGCCCCAAAAACAAAAACTTTCTTCGATAACTTTGAAAAATGTGCAGAAAGACTGCACGCGTCGGCACGCTGTGCGTACGCGAGCTGTTGCGATGCGGGTTGCTACGGTACGCCGCCATATTGATAAATGTCGCACTCGAAACAGCCGTGTCTGGGAGTCCGGATTGTTTTGTCGTTTTTATGTAGAGGTAATCATGGTGCAATCATGATGTAATCGGGATGCAATCATGATGTAATTATGATGTAATCGTGATGCAATCATGATGTAATTATGATGTAATCGTGATGCAGTTGTAATGCAACCAAGAGTCATCATGGTGTAACTGTCATGTACACTACTAGTACTGGTCTGGGCATACCGTGCAGCCTGGTTGACCTCTTCATTTTCTCCTGTTCTGTATCTGGGTGCTGTTCTTTGCCAATGTTTTCTAGCACGGACAACCCACTGTGCCCGGCTAACTGTTCTCCACGGGACGATTCGCTACTCGGGCGGCAGCCTTGCCATCGGCTCAACAGCTCTGGTAACGTGCGAAGAGGGCTGGACAGCAAGCGGCAACAGCACGGCCGTGGTCATGTGCATGCGGGGTGCTGCTGCTGGTGAGCCGAGTGCCTTGGCCACGTGGAATCGTACGGTCGAGTGCTTTGGTGAGTAAACTACCATATTTTCCAAGAGTATGCGCCGCAGTATAAGCTGCCCCCCCCCCCCCATTCCATTTTTCCCCACAAAACACAGCCATCTACCCTATTAATTTTATCACCGTTAATTTGATCTGACATGTTGCGACTTCGGCGGTAATACTAGAAGAAGGTGGCTGCTCCAACCGTTGGAGCTCGCGCTTCTTGCCGACTGAATGACACTTGACTGACTCACGACTGCCGTCTGGAGCACACGAGAAGAATATCGCGCCGTTTACTCAGCACACCTGCTCAATACGCAATGTTCGGGGAATTCGCTCCTCATTAGTTGAGCTTGAGTAGGCTGAGGAAGATTGTGCCTGAAGAGCACCACTTGTATAGTGCTCTCCATGCACAAACATCAAGCGGCATACAAACCTACAGAAACGCTTCATTTCCAGCGCGACAAACACCTCGTGAGCACCAGGCAGCAGCGTGAGTCAGTGTGGCACTTGGATTTGTGAATACAGACGCTGACGGTCATCGACCGTTCACAACGCTGTCACATCCGATCATCTAGTCGCACGCCCTCGCGGGGGACAATACAAACTGAGATGGTGCGACTTTTTTTAAAAAATTTTTACTGAATACCACAGAACCATCAGATGCTGCACAGCGAGGGCGGTGGCATATTGGATGGAAGTGGGTGCGGGGCAAAAGTAACTCCTTCGACCAACTGTCTCGGAATCATCGTAACTCCTGTGCGGTAATTGTACTGCTTTCTTCGGTAATTTGATTATCTCAGAGTGTAAGCCGCACCCCCTTTTTCCTGGGTGAATTTTTGAGCGTTCCGAGTGCGGCGTATACTCCAGAAAATACGATGCGTATCATGTACTGCGGACAGAGCTGCTTCGTCCGTTGTCGACTCATCATCACCGTACAGGCTGTACATGTACTGTACTTCGAAGTACAGTCGACCTACCCTTATAACGATATTTGCGTCAGGCCAAGAAATATCGTTATAAGGGAAATATTGTTATAAGGGTACTGGTACATTTCATACGTGTAAGTCATAATGCATGATTTTTGTTCATTTTTTGCACTCTTCTTAGAACATACATTTACCTTACTGTAAGACATGTTATTATAACGAGTCGCAAATTTAACGATTGTCCAAAATTCATAGGTTAACGAGAAGATACGTTAACGATCTTGCAGTCTTCAGGCGTATCCGCACATAACACATATGAGGCATTACAGCCTAAACAGAATTTATTATAACGAAAAAATGTCACCCGTTTAAACGTTAGATTTACATGAGCGTTAGCATGCTAACGCGAGTTAGCAGCCAGCCCAGCGAGCTGGCCCAACCTGCACGCATGCGCGAGTCACGTGGGCACGCGCCCTTCAAAATCCTGTACAATGTCTCTTTCATGTCATTGCTGTTTGGACTTTCGAGCATGCAACTTGCGGAACAGGTGTTCCCAAAACAATTAATTTCCTTTCGTTAGACTTTCAAGCTTGCATCCTCGTATCTCTACGTTTCAAATTCAGACTTCAATGACGCCTGTTGGTGCCTGAAACAATGTCGTCTTCTACAGTGGAACGTCGACTGTGGACTTTTAGCTTGTGCCATCATCAGGTCTCCTGAAATGAAGTACCTCCACGCGATCTCAGCGACCCTTGTATGCCGGTGCCTTGAAACAATGTCGTCGTCACCAACCGGCGTCCAGCCTCTCCGGACCGCCTCGCTCTACCTGGCTCCGCCGACCGCCTACTGCGAACGCAGCGACGGCCGCCACACAGCACCACCACTGCAACAGCAGGCGCGAGCCTAACGATCGTAATTCGTATCCAGAGAGGCGAGTTCGTGGGCTTTGATTTTCTGTTGGAAGTAACAACGTTAGTTGTCCACTGCCGTCACCAACGCCACCCAGCTTCTCCTCGCTCTACTTGGATCCGTATCGCCGCTCGCCGCCAGCAGGCCGGACCCTACTGGGAGCCCGGTGCAGTGACGACCGCCATATGCGCATGCAGCACCAACAGCAGGTGAACCTGACTGTCCTATACGGGCCCTTCTCGATCGTGTCCAGAGAGGCGAGTTCGTGGACTTCGATTTCCTGCTGCCCGATACAGTTGCAGTCAGTCCAGCTCCGGCGACGTTCCAACTCCGTAGCCCCTCATATGTTGCTCTTCTGGCGCACTAGCATTTATTTGAATCCGAACCCAGAACTGCGCTTCGTAGGCTGCATGACGGTAGCACTTGAGTTGAGACCTGGACAGTGTTCATGAATGGTCTGTGTTCCACTGTTCCTCACCGCGTTTCACGAGTGCCTGTGGACGTATTTGGCCACGATCGTCGCGGCCAATCCCCAGTTCTTGCCACCTAGAAACTGGACGTTATCGACAACTGTTTCGTCCTTTGTGAACTCATCAGCCGCACAGAGGAAATTCAAGTAAGCCAAACTTGATAGCAATGGAAAAAAATCTCCAAAGCCAGGTTATCAATATCAACCTGTGGCAACTGCGCCTCACGGTGTACTGGAACAGCATGACCCGCCTGCCAGCAGTGCAGCTCAGTGCACCCGCCAGCATTTCCGTACGCATTTCGTCCTACTCACCAGTACAGATCCGCATCACGTACCGCAACCGTATGCCGCTACTACGAGTACGGCGCTTGCACGTGTCAGCTCAGGCAGTGCTGCCTCCAGTGCCGACAGGAGCACCCCAGGGCAAAGTGTAAGGCCTCATCAGTAACTGTGTAAGCACTCAGTTTCTCAGTTCTCAAATTTACTGGACTCACATCCTGATCCTATGCTCCGGAGGTATGTTGCACATGGTCGTAATTGTGGGGTTGTGGTAGGCTTCATCGGCAACCACTCAACTAACTGGGATCCATTGAATTTAACACGGTCACATGCTAACCCAGATTTTATTTCTGCGCAACGATCCGGGCCGTTTCTTGCAGCAGGCTTGAAACAGCTGGCCCGTGTTCTTCACCCCCTTTCTCATCTCTGTGCTGTTCCGGCGTAGATGCGGTTCCTAGACGAACGGGAAGTTACACACGACACACCCTTTGTAAAGCCTGGAGGGTCGAAGTGTCAACGATTACATTCCAGCAGACCGTATCTCTCCACAATGTCAAGATGACAATGCTGCAAATATGACTAGACAATTGCTCGCCCCGCTGTATCTTGCTAAGCTCGATGTTAAAAGTGCATTCTGCCGAATTCCCGTCTGCCCGGTGGAGTGGCCCTTGTTGAACCGCTGGCAGGATGAATACTGTTATGAGAGCGTCCTGCCCTTCAGACTGTACTACGCTCCCGGCCAGCTATATGGAACTCTGTCGCATCCGCCAGTGAATGGATTGTGTGCGGGCAGTTCGCACTCCCACGCCTGTTGCATTACGGGGAATACCTCAATTAACATGACTTCCTCAATGCATGCTCTGGACTTGTGTTAGCTCGCCAGCAACTCGCTATTCTGCTCCGAGCGTTTGCATACCTCGGTGTTTCTCTGGCCCCAGCAAAAGTGGAGGGTCCAGCCCAAGTCCCGACATCTTCCCATTACGGGAAATACCTCGACTAACGTTTCTGTCTCCATGCATGCTCTGGACTTGTGTTAGCTCGCCAGCAACTCGCTACTCGGCACCGTGCGTTTACATACCTCGGTGTTTCTCTGGCGTCAGCAAAAGTGCTTCCTCGATGTACATGTATGCTCTGGACCTGTGTTAGCTCGCCAGCAACTCACTACTCGGCGCCGTGCGTTTACATACCTCGGTGTTTCTCCGGCGTCAGCAAAAGTGGAGGGTCCAGCCCACGTCCTGACGTTTATCGGCGTCATCCTGGACACCCGCGCGCTCACATCAGTCTGCCGATGGACGAACTTGCCAAGCTTCACAACCTCCTACGTGCCACTCTCAACACAGCTTCAATTACCCAATGTCAACTCGAGTATCTTCTGGGAAAGCTCTCGTTTGCTAGAAGAGTGATAGTCCCAGGACGCACATTGCAGATTGTGGTCACTTGCCAACTGGTACCGGCAGCCGTATTACCTGATCAAGCTCTCCGAAGAGTGCCTCAAATATCTTCGCTGATGGCCTGAGCTCCTGGAATAGTTGAACGGCCGGTCCTTCTTCCTACACCCTAAGTGGACGCCGTCCCCCAACTTGCTGCTATTCACTGATGCAAGTGGTGCACTTGGCTGGTGCGCAAACAATTGCGACCGGGGATAGGGCAATGGACAGTCAATCAAGCAAACCAGCCAATCGCAAAGAGTGGTTTGCAATTGTGGCAGCACCTGGGAAAGCTAGCGGCACCAGCTGCAGATGCCAATCGATCGACTTTACAGCAACTGCGAAAATCTTGCTCATCAGTTGTGGCTATGGCCTGGCGTTATACACCGGCCACTCGTTTCGAATCAGCTGCCGGACTCGATATTCAGAGAGGCGGGAAGGTGGAAAGCCATGTCTGCCCGAGTAACATTCAGAGGCCACCAGCAGCCAAAGCATGGGTGGCTGTGGCAATGGCCTCAGCCCATGATATCGAGTTCCTGTTAGTCAATCGTTACCGAGCTTGCTCTGCTTACAAATTTCACAGGTAGCTGCACTTTGTGATCCGCTCCGGGAGTGCCGATTTATGGAATATATGCTCTCAACTGGTTATGCATCTCTATATATCTAGCATTTGGCGGCTCTATTCAGAGTCATTGCCGGCTCCATGCGGAGGCATCGGCGGCTCCATGCGGAGTAATTCGGCGGCTCCATGCGGAGTCATTCGGCGGCTCCATGCGGAGTCATTCGCCGGCTCCCTGCGGAGTCATTCGCCGGCTCCATGCGGAGTCATTCGCCGGCTCCATGCGGAGTCATTTGCCGGCTCCATGCGGAGTCATTCACCTGCTCCATGCGGAGTCATTTGCCGGCTCCATGCGGAGTCATTTGCCGGCTCCATGCGGAGTCATTTGCCGGCTCCATGCGGAGTCATTCGCCTGCTCCAAGCGGAGTCATTTGCTGGCTCAGCTGCGAGCCATTATACCAGTTGCTCGAATCGGCACTCCCAGCTTAATGCAAAAACTCGGTTGCTCTGTTGTGAGGTGGGGGGATGCTAATTCCTCGTTATAATTACATGTCTTACAGTAGTCCAAGGTTACCAATAATATTTTCAAAACGAAATGTTTTCGCTGGGGGGTCAGGTGGGTGGGTTCGATGGAGTTTCGTTTTGAAAACAATTATTGAATGTAGATGGAGAATGTCCAGTTACTTCTGGGTGTCGAAAATTGACATCAATATTTTATTGGAATTCGTTTTACCTGCAGAAAAGATCGGCGGGTGGGGGCTGAAAAATACTAAAACTTTTCGTTTTGTAAAAAATTAATAATCGGTCACCGCCGACGGCCCCTTAACACCAAAACTAAGGTAAATGTATGTTCTACGCACATTGTGTACACAGCAAGGCATTACTGGTGCCCCCATTGCATTTCGTCATGTCCCAGCGACTTATCAAGTGGCGCTTGCCCTACCTGGATAGTGGCCTCTACATATTCCCTGCTAGATATTGTTATAAAATGGAAAATACAGAGTGGTCAGCCCATTTTATATCGTTATAGGGGTAATTGTCTGACTGTCGAACGATTTGGTTTACGAGCGCTGCAGTGCTGCTCCACTTGGCAACATTCTGGTGAATGCAAGATGGCGGTTGTTTGGCCACATCCTGCGATCAGATGAGCACACACCGGCTAGGGAGGCCATGAGTGGATTCTTTGGCTGCTCCGTGCCGGGATACCGTGGGCGGCCGCGGATCACGCTACCAGTCCTGCTGAATCAAGACGCGGAGCGAGTCGGCTGCCGTCTGAGGACTCCAAGGGACTTGCAGCTGATGGCTCAGCGAGCACTGGATCGCCGTGAATGGACATATCTGTGCAACGCAGTTACAGATGCGTACAAGGCAGAGTACTGGTGAAGGAAGTTGGCACTGCAATGGTTTGAGCTACATTCTTTGTTGTTGGTACTCTGATTATCCGTATTATCCATATTCATATGGCCTTTGCCATTCATTCAGTATATTAATGTCATCAATGATATTCTTGTTTGTATTAGTTTATGTGACACCATTTTCTATTTTTCTTTGCCTGCCTGCCTGCTGGCGGCCTTTTTTCGCATGGTTCGGTGCAAGCGAATTTGGGCGAGCCCATTGACGCGGGAGCACAAATAATAATAATAATAATATAGGGGTAATATTGTTATAAGGGTAAGGCGTTGTATACAAAAGTCAATGGAGTGATTTGGTTTGGCAGAAAAATATCGTTATAAGGGTAATATCGTTATAGAGGTTATCGTTATAAGGGTAATATCGTTATAGGGGTTATCGTTATAAGGGTAGGTTGACTGGAGTTACATAACAACCATTGCATGTGGTGCTGCATTTTCGTTCACGTTTGGACTAGTCAATACCATGTCTGTGAACCGTGTGTATCTCCGCTGTGACCTTTCGACCTGTGTGGGATGCATACAGCCCTAGTGTACAAATCAGTTACAGCTCATTTACATCATTGATGTCCATTTGTGGTGCTATCCCCTATAGCAAGTGTCGGATTTCACTTGCCATGACTGTACAACTGTTTTCATATTAACACTGCATGTGTAATTAGCCTGATTGATTGTAAATGTTTGCAGTCGGATCTAGCTTGGTGAGGAATGCACGGAATGCATGGTGATTTACAGTTGCCCTATCGCAGTCTGCACTCCATGGATGCTGTAGCAGCGACTTTTGTCCAGCTGTGCTCACTCTGTCCCCTTTCTGCGCTGCGGCTGCTGCTCTCTCTCCCTCCTTCCCTTCCCCTTTCTCGCGCTCACTCTCTCTCTCTCTGTCTGTCTCTCTCTCTCCAGGTCCCAGTAACGGCATAATGTCAGCTACACTGGTGGCGCTCGCCTTCTCCATGGTCACCCTGCTCGTTCTGGCGCTGTTCGTATTCGTGCGGCGCTCGCAGCTACTCCAGTCAATGCAGGACGCGTCGCACAGCACCTCCTGCTATCGCTTTTGTAAGATGTGGAACAAGAAGAGTTGCGGCAAGCAGCTGCAGCCGAATGCAAAGTCGTTGGCCACGCCGGACGCCAGCCGCTCAGCCAGTACCATGGGTATGGTGGACTCACGCAACAGCGTTCTAACAGATAACAGTGGTGGCGCTGGTGCCAATGGCGGCCATCGCTTCAGCATGGTCACCCTGGGCAGCCACACGCTGTCCAACCACGAGCTCCTGCACCACGACGACGGCGGCGGCAAGATGGCGGCGGCGTTGTCACGGCAGCACAGCGCCGTCTCCTCCGCACACACCAGCCCGTCGTCCTCGTTGGTACCACAGCCAATGCTGTGTACCACCTCACTGCAAAGCGCTACGCTGCTGGGCATGTTTGAGTCAATATCGCCAATGCTCGCCGAAGACTGTCAGGCTGAGCTTGAGCAGGAAACGGAGGCACCGCCGCATGAGTGCGAGCAACCACCACCAAGGGCACCGTGTGACGCTCCTGTCCATAATACCCACACCGACAACAAAGACAAGGAGCGTGGCAGGCAAGCGTGCGGTGCGTCTGTCTCCGCCATGCTAGTGAGACCTCCGGCGGATATCGACTTTCGAACACCGGCGTCCAGTCCCTCGCGTGCCAGTCCGCGCTCACACCCCCAGCCTCCAGGGTTCTATGTGTCATTCGACGGTAGCCCGATCTCGTGTAACTTTCGATCCGAGCAGCGACTCGACAAGTCGGCGCGCTACTACGGAAGCGAACCCTCCGACCTCGGCAGAAGCAAGTGGAGCCTCGCTGTGGAGCGAGAGGAGTTTTTTTCCTCATCCGACGACTCGTACATGTCGGCATGGATGCCGACCAACGTACACGCATCGCCGACGCAGAAACACTTCCTCCCCAGCCACAAGTACCTGTGTCGTGTGAACTCCGACACGAGCAACGACGCCGGTGTCTCCTCCGAGAGCCTGTTCTCCGTGCAGCAGAAGACCGACCTGCCCACGTCGTACAGCCAGGCGGCCCTGAAGCGCGCTAGCCTCTCGCCGGGCCCAAGCCGCCGACTACCACCGCCGCATCATCGGCATCATCCCGTGTCGTCTCTGTACTCGAACCGTTGCCGCGCCAGATCTTGCTTCTCAGCCGATTCGCTGCAGTCCGACGGACCTTTGCCGTCGTCGCCTTCGATCATACCCCGTGATGATCGCCGGCGAAGTACGCTGTGCTCCTACGGCTCAACGTCGGGCGATAACCTGTCCATGGGCGGTGGAAAGCGCGTACTCCTCAACCGTGCCCTGATGCACTGCAAGAGCTCGGCCGTCACCAGCTCCGGCAGCGAGCATTCGGACTTAGAAGACTTACACTCGTCGTCAGCCCTGGCCGCGTCCCATAGCAAGAAGTCTATGCACCCGGAGCTGCAGGCACAGGAACTCATCCGCGACCTGCCGCAGCGCATAGCCATCAAGCGCAAGGTCATACTGCCGGTGAAGTCGACGAACAGCCTTCCGATGAGTGCAAGCCTTGCAGGCAGCACACACACGCTCAGTCACTGTGGCAGCGCCGGAAGTCCCTTGGCGACGCCCGAAAGAACCAGGCGCATGTGGCGCGGAGTGCATCGTCGCGACGTTGCCTCGAGAACGAGCAGTACGCAATCGGCAGCTTCGCTAAACAGCATCGGCGTTTCTTCGTCGACGAGTCGTACGTGTCCGAGCACGTGGCGCAGCGAGCCTAAACTCACGCAGACCAAGAGTCAGTCGTCGTCGCCACTGCTCCTCACGCCGCCAAGCGCCGGTGCGGGCGGTAAGCATTCTACGCCGGCGTCGTCATCATCCGCTGCTGCCGCCCCCGGCACCGTGCTTTACCGAATTGCCGCCGGCTCCTCGCCATCGCTCCAGGGCGCGTCGATCGCCATGCGCCTGCCGTTCTCCGACTCCGATCGGCCCGTGATGATGCAGGCCAGGAAGAGCTGCTGCACGTCATCCCTGTCACTGCCACTAGCAAACACGCACAGCGAGGCGGCGAGCTATGGCCGCCTGTTCAGCTCGCAGGATCTCTACTACCACGACGGCACGGCGAACAGCCGACGGCAAGCCGGTCACACGCTTGCCAACGCAAGCTGCTTTGCGCTAGGAACAGGCTCCAATGGCCTCGGTGGCCGTCGGTCGTCCGCCATACAGCCGCTGTTTGAAATGGACGACACGATCGGACAGCTGTCGCCACCGGGACAGGAAACGTCGCAGTTAAGTTCTCGCGACGACGACGCACTCCTGACTAGAGTGGTGCCAGCGCAATCCGATGGAAACTTTGACGCCATGCGCAAACGTTACAGCTGTACCTCGCTGCCATCCATCCTGGAAAGTTACTAGGTGATAGTCCTCCCCCTGTCATCCATCCTGGAATGTCGCCAGTGATCCCTCTCCTGGCCTGCAGGCTTTAGGTGCACCTCCCTGCCAACAATCCTGGAAGGTCATTCGCTAAGCATGGGTCCCGATGCATTGTCTGACGGCCTGTGTTTTCTGCCTTCCAGGGTGGGGCCGGCTCTAGGAGGCCGGCAATGTGTGTGTGTGTCGTTAGGGTCGATCCTCGTTCACCAGTGGGCATCTGTCCATCCAGCACCGGACCGGCCCTGGCCAGCAGCCTGTGTCCAGTCGGCCAGGCATTGCTCTGCCACCCTGCGAGTGGCCGTACGATCTGACATACCGCTTGCCGGCCGCTCTGTCCCATCGCCATTGTGGCCGCTGCACGCTGCCAGCCAGTCTTGCACGCGTGCCTTCACGCTCGCGGCCAGAATGTGTGCCTTCGCACACGTTCTCTCTGTAAACTAGAGCATTGGCGCATATCAGCGGGTAGTAGGTAGACCACAGTGGCCGAGTGGAATGGATGTAACCTGTCACTGTGCCAGCTGTTTGCTACGAAAGGCCATTGGCGTACGGGGCCAGCAATGCGTGAGCCAATCGAACGATTGCTTGCCGGGTCTGACACAGCTGCAGCGTCGTGCGATCAGGCGAGTTCTCTGCACATGCCGTGGACTGCGGCTTCGACCGTGTATCATGCTCCAGTCGCCCAGGCCTGTGCCGGCTTGAGGACCTACTCCCTGTCTCTTGCCACGCCTGTGCCGGCTTGAGGACCTACCCCTGCCCCCGTCTCTAGCGGACGTGGTGCCGCCGTTGTCTCTCCCAACGCGCATTGCCAAACACACTTGATACAGTTCTGATTATTCTCGACACTCCACTCTCTCTCCCCTACTAGAATGCCGTCACCGTCCTGCTGCCTCTCGCATGGCGACTTTTTCGTCTTCTAACGCTGTTTGCCACGCCATATTGAGCTCTTTCTGCTGTTTCACTCGTCATCTCCTACTCCGCACAGCTTTGGAGTCTCCTGATCACACTAGCTGTCGACGAATTTTATCCCACCCATCCCCACTACCACCACTCGCATCCGTTCAATAGCATACCCAACACTCGATAGCGCACCCGTTGCCCCACAGAAAGGCATATAGATGCGCTTTCTCCATCTGCCGACCAAGCTCTCCTATGCGGGGCAATTTTTTTCCTTTTAGCCAAAGTTTTTGGTCAAAGTTTAATAACGTACAGCACGTTGAGTAGCTTTTTAAATCGTTCAGATTCTGAACGGCACGCGTGCCCAGTCTTTTTTTATGTTTACTTTATTAACAAAAATTCTGCTCCCATTTTTTACTCATGGGCGCCTTTTACTTTTTCCTACTGAATTACCAACTTGGTGGAAGTTGTGATGCGCACGTTTCAAGCACATGATTTTGAATCTTTCCATGGTGTTCGGAGTACAGCTCTGCCACCGTGCCTACTACCTGTCTGTACTGTGTGTGTACACTGGCTGTTGTGTCCAGGTGCTGTTTGTGCCTTTGTAGTGTGGACTGTTGGCTGCTGCTCTCTCTCTCTCTCTCTCTCTCTCTCTCTCTCTCTCTCTCTCTCTCTCTCTCTCTCTCTCTCTCTCTCTCTCATTCTCTCTCTCTCTCTCTCACTCACACACACACACACACAAACACACACACATAATAATTATGTGCGTGCACACGCACTCTCGTGTGTCCCTTCACTGAGAGAGAGAGAGAGAGAGAGAGAGAGAGAGAGAGAGAGAGAGAGAGAGAGAGAGAGAGAGAGAGAGAGAGAGAGAGAGAGAGAGAGAGAGAGAGAGAGAGAGAGAGAGAGAGAGAGAGAGAGAGAGAGAGAGAGAGAGAGAGAGAGAGAGAGAGAGAGAGAGAGAGGTACATGATCCACGAGACCTGGGTGCCATATCTCTTAATTTGCTGGCCAAAAATCCTATACAGGTCGTCCCTCGTTAATACATAATCTCTGGGACTTGACAAATGTTCTCAGTATTAACGGGGTTTATGTACTAAACGAAAGTGTACATAACTTGCTTGTGTACCAGAATTTTTCACTTTTTTCTACTTTTCTGAGTGTTTCTCGCTACCATGACTAGGCAGCGAGATATTCTTGATTCCCTCGATATAACATAAAAATTATGTTATACCGGTCACAGTTAGCGAAGATTCTACAGTTTGCATGATACATGCCCAGCGGCGCCCGTATAGTCACTAAAAAAACAGAGCTTTGTCGGTTTGTGATGTGCGCTCTGATTTTTGAGCTAATTGCATCCACAAGTAGAAACTAGAACACGATGTGCCTCCACTGGAAGGCCAAAAGACCAACAAATTATTGAGGTAGGTGGCATGCGGGTACGGAGAAATGTTATGTACTAACGGGGTTTATGTACTAACGAATTATGTACTAACCGACAAAATTTGTAAGGAAGTGATCACGTTTCGTCCGGGACTTGAGATTTCTTAGGGGTCATCCGGCATTATCAATTATTTTCACGAAACGAAAAAGTTTAGTTATGACCCTCCCCCACCCACCCACCCACCCCTGAACGAAAATTATACTGACTTGACAGCTAGAATGGATTGATGTTTCAGCTATCGATATTTTTCATAACGAAACTCTCCCTGACCCACCCACCCGTAAACGAAACTTTTTCGTTTTGTGTAAAAGATTGATAATTATGGACAGCCCCTTATGTACTAACGGGGTTTATGTACTACCGGACTCGTATTAACGGGGGACGACCTGTATTATAGGATTTGAAAATGTGTGCCTTTTATGCCGTTGTTTATTGGTCATCACGACCAATAATAACGGCATAATGGTTTTCATGGAAGTTGTAAATATGATTGAGGCATGAATGTTTACATTTTAGATTCATAGGGCGATAATATTTCTGATGAATACCCATTTTCAGCAATAATTGGAAATTTGAGCATAATTGTTCAGCTGCTGTCATGGAAAGGACTGAAGAGTGAATGTGCAGAAGAACAGTAGGGAGGTTTCGCTCTACGTAATTACGTATGAAACTCCGTATGTCGTACACGCCGGGGAGCGAGGGCAACTTTCATACGTAAATCTCTCTACGGATTTCCGTAGGAAAGCTGTTTCCTACGTTGGGTTCTCCGTAGGACTTTTTGAAATATTTTCGCATTTTCCGGATTTGTCCATGGCAACGTTCAAGCCGCACGAAACACAAGGTACACACACCGTACACCACGTGAAAAATAAAAATGGAAACGCGGTTTCTGTTTGTGGTGCATGCGGTGGGCGCATGCATCCAACGCGTCTCCAAAGCAACAACACACGTTTAGCAGTAGTGGAGACATCACGTAGAGCGAAAACCAACAGCTCTGATTTTTACGTATGAAAATTCCGTGCAGTTCCTACGTTATTTTCATACGTAATTCCGTAGAGCGAAACCTCCCTATTGCAGGTGTGGCACGGGGTGGTTTCATGACGACATAATTATCGCACATGCCGTCATGAATCTACCAGTTTCAAGGATAAAACAAGGTCCAATAAAATCTCAAATCCTATATATAGGATTCGAAAAATAGGGCACAGGCCTTAGTAATATTGGGCAAGGAGATGAGCGTGAGATGTTATTGTTTGAAAAAATTATCTTATTCAACTCTCGATATCTACTAAGACCTAACAAGGAAAAATTGGTCACATACTTTTTGCTATTCTCATGCCACACCCATTTTGAGTTGAAAAATATGACCAAAATCCTATATATAGGATTTAGCAAATTAAGGGCATGTTCGATTGTACGAATCCATCAGCCCCGGACCCGGATTCGCCAGATTTGTGCATGTTCGATTGTACGAATCCGAATCCCGAGAGCACGGATTCGGATCCAGTCAACCCACCTCCCAGAGACGGATTCGACGGATTCGACAGATTCATTTCGATAGTACGACTCGCATCTACTCAAAACTCGCAATATGCGTACACTAGGTCAAGAGCTTACCACAACGCGTACAGATACTACGGGATGAGCTGTAGCTACGCGGTTGCTAAGGCCTTGAAACGGATTATCGGTTGTGCACATTCGATTGTATCCGTCCGATCGAAGTGATCTGGTCGGCGGGGATCGGGATCCAGTTTCGACAATCGAATGCAGCCTAAGAGATACAATGGGAGTATCCCCCCTTCTAATTCCGGCACGGCCACCCTCTACCTGTACCGCTGGTGCTGTGCGTATATTTAGTCACACTCTGCCCATGCAAAGTGGAAAGTATTGCTAAAGCCTGGGACTTGGATGATCCTACTCTGTGCACGACTAGTGAGTTTCCACTCTACCTGCATCGTCCACAGCAGAGAGTCATTATTTACAACCCCCTCAGGCTCCCCGGAACCAGTCCCGTTGGTCAGGTTATCACTGGTACTGTGGAGGGCATGTGTACCCGCCATGAAGTATGAAAGACCATGGTACTACAGTCAGACCTCGCTTATCCGGTCCTCTTTTATGTGGATCCCTCACCATCCGGAAGAAAATCGTTGGTTACCGATTTACAGCATATGCAGTGCATACATACAGTATGTGTGTTCGATTATCCGGTTCCCTCGCCTATCCGGATATTTTGATGTGTGCGGCTAAGCGAGGTCTGACTGTATCAGACAACAAAACCATGCTTCTGGCGGTCCTGCCCTAGCCCTAGGTCCTGCAATACATGTAAACTGTCACCCGGGTGAAATCGTGGAACTGCTAGTAAAAGCTCATAAATCGTGGCACAATTATCATTTGCGGCCGTATCCGGTCCAGTTTCTGTGTAGAACTTTTACCCTATAGGCGCGGGCAGAATGGAACAAAATGCAGCGAAGGTGTCACGAGACTTTACCTCCTGCGGAAGCCGAGACCAATGAGAATAGGACTTGAACAGAGGGGATTTTAAAAGGATCGATGATCTGGCAAGTGGGAAATGGAGAGAACATCTAGTACGCGAGCTATTATTGAACCAGCTTAAATGCGCAAGTGCATGAGGAGGAGCAAGTTGAAGCTTAATACGGTGAATGAATTTGCATGCCGAGTGGGGAAAGCGTTCTGAGAGAGGGGAAGAGGAAGCCAAAATGTATAGCGTCTGAGAGGAGGTCAGAGGGGACATGCGAAATATTAATCGAAGTAATTTACGGTGGGTGACTTCTAACCGATGGCTAAGAGCGGAGGATAGACCGGAGGACCAAACGAGAGAGCAGTAATCAAACAAAGGAAGAACATAAGAGTGATAAATTTGTATTCGACAACCATGGTGTAGATGGGAGATGTGAGGAGAAATGCAGCCTATCGCGGAGCAAACTCGCTTTTCAATAATTATAGGTTACGTGCGAATCCCAGGACAAGTGTTCATCAAGAAATATACCAAGGACTTAGGTGTTTGATTACTTTAGCCAACAGGCATTTTGCTTCTGCTTGCAAGACTTGACCTTGCCCCGCACCTGACGTAACCTGACTCTTGTCAGTCTCGAAATATGCCCGGCAGGCGGCAGTGCATGATGATGTGCATGCATGCACGGGTAGACATAGTCGTGTAGGGTTCCCTGATGCCAACATGTACATGCTTCGAATCAGGGAGTCGTAATATACCGGTATTTTACGACTCCCTGCTTCGAATGAATTTGGCAGCCATCTTGTTGCCATGGCAACGGGTGAATAATTTTCGCACATTGGGTGATTTTTTGAATTTTTTTAGATTTTTTTCAAATCTACCCATTTTTGAGAATAACATCATTCCCCCAAAAAATCGAGTTTTACATCCACATCTTTCCAATATTTTTTCGAATAATGTGGAAAAGCGGGATTCACAGAAGCTTTTTTGCGATGCGACACGCGATGCGACAGACGCGAAACCGGGAAAACCCCAAATCGCAGCCATGTCGCACCCCACGCAACTGCCGCAACTGGGCCATCGCAGGCCATCGCAGAAGTTGAGCTTGGCTCAACTTTTGCGATGCGATGCGACAAGCGATTTGGTGTACGATTTTGACCTTTTCTACAGCAAAGTTGTACAAAGGTGCAAGAGTTGCCTATAATTTTTTACAAGTTGTGTCAAACCGCGCGAATATCATGGTGACGTACCCAAATCAGCAAAACTTTGTCACATCGCTCACTTCTTCTGTGAATGGTATTTCGTGAGTTCGCATCGCACGCATCCATCGCAGATCGCGTCGCATCGCGTGTCGCATCGCAAAAAAGCTTCTGTGAATCCCGCCGATTCACAATACAACTTTCTGCGACGCGACACGCGATTTGCGACAGTTGCGACAAGAAACTGCCTGTCGCGAGCTGTCGCAAGCTGTCGCAAGCTGTCGCAATGCACCTGTCGCAGAAGTTGAAGAAAGTTCAACTTTTGCGACATGCGACACGCGACATACACAAATGGAGTACAGTTTCGACCCTGGGTGCACGTGCAGTGTACGTGCAG